AGAGTGAACAAAATAACAAATACAAAACATGTTAGTATCAAACATTAAAGTTCATATTAAGTTTACACTATACTTATTCTTACATCATTAGTGTAACCTTTTTACCTTGACATAATAAACTTAGCTACACATAATGAAAGAAAAAAAAATAAACAAAATAAGAATATAAATAAGATAAAAGCTAACTAAGTAAAGGAAAGGAATTGAAAGGCATAAACTTGATATTAATGAAAGCAAAACTTAAGCATTACAAAAATACAAAAAGAGAAAGCAAGAGCATGATCTTGATTTGAAAACCAAGATACTTAAATGCATGGCAAATGCCTCCTTTTATAGGCTAAAATTGGAAACTATTGATATGATGACTAATTGATAAATGGGTGGCCCACTCTTGACTTGGTAACAATCCTTATCTTCTCTTATCTGCCCAAAATGTCATTGATAACGTTAGAATTAGAACTCTTTAAAAACATGAAAGTTGTAGGAAATTATCTCAGCTTTCCAGAAAAAAATGGAGGTTATGTGAACTTCTAGAACTCTAGATATGGGTCAAACACTAAACAATACTCGAGCTATAAGATAGATTCGGACTTCTTTCTTGTTGCTACAATTTGGACTTGAAAATGAACTTTTTTAAATCTTGGGCTCCATATGAAAGTTGTAGGCCTATATCTTACCATTCTATCCATATAAAATAAACCTAAATCCAAGATCTACAACTCCAGATATGACCCAATTACCGAATAGTATTCCGGTTTGGATTGCACCAACATCTCTTTTCTAAGTTTGGCCATCTGTTTGTTCTTTCCATTTCAGTTCTTAAACTTATTAATCAATCATTTCATTTATGTGATAGGCCTGTATTTAAAATGAATATTTACCACAAATTAAACGTATCTTATATTATTAGATATGTTATTATAAGACATGCTTTATTTAAGGAGTTATTGATACTTTAAATGCAAAATGATTATATAAAACCTTGATAAAAATGCACTTTTAAGTACTAATCAATAAACAAAGATGCCCAACTTCACTCTATAGTTAGTAAATAGGGAGCACACTCTTGGTTTCACTTTCACTAATAGTAAGCATTTTAATTATTAAATTGACTCCTTTTATTTGCAAAACAAGTAGTAATACCCTTTTCACCTAACCAACTGATAAGGGTCTAATAAACTCCTTGCACTCTCTCACAAGTTATAAGCTGAGATATGGAAAATATTTGGAATTAATATTTTTGAAATACAAAAAAATAAAATAAAATATGTTCTTGAAGTATTTGTGACATTTTCAATGTCTTTTCAAAAGAATTCAAAATTAAAAAAAATTATTTTTAACTTGTTCTGTTATTAACATGTACATTTCAAAATCATTGATCAATTCTTCTCATAGAGTCGATGTAGATGTTGCTTTATTTAAAAAATCAAAATAAATAAGAAATAAAAAAAATATAATAAACGGGAAAGGGACCAAAAGTGAAAAGGAAGGAAATGAAGGACCAAAAAATTTGGCTTAGAGGAAAAAGACAAATGATTTTGCTTGTAAATTAGGTGGTTATCTCACACTAAAAAAAGGAGGGGAGACCAAAACAAAATCCAAAAATCATTTTCCATAACTTTCTTTGCAACTCATGTACTCATACAAACACAAAAAAAACCCTAACCATATCTTGACAAAAGGAGTCACCAGCCATACAAAGGAAAAAAAGCTATCATTTTCAACCCTTCATTTTCTTCAACAAAACCACCAGTAAACAGTCTCTTCACCATAACTCATAACCACCCTGAGTAACCCCTTTACTATGTAAAAACCATCCTTACATTGGTTAAAAAGCATAGCTTCAATAGCCTTTTCAAGACCAAACCTAGCAACAACCATAAACCTTCCTCATTAATGCTAGCATAAATCCCTCACAATCTTCACATAAGCCTTTCCCTTCCTGATTGACAACCCTCACATCAGCCCTTGAAAGACAACCACCACGAAAGTCAAGACCACCCATTAGCACACCAATAATAGCTTTAACTTTTTCCTTCAACTATTTATCAATCTATATATACAAATGCATCTTTATCTCCCATTTGTGAATCGAAGCTAACAAAAAGAATAAATAAAGCTCTTCAATCTTCTTCCTTGTTATAGCCCCCTCCTCTCTACCTATATATGTCAACCTTTTATAATAATTAATTTGTTTAATTAGTATTCATGGTTTTAGAATTAATATGTAGATTTTAATATTTGAGGGTATAAAATTACCTGTAAAGTTTACCCTTAGTAATTACAGATAAAAAGTAGCAAATAAATACAATGCTAAAATTTAGGCCTTAGAACGATTATAATTTAACATGATAAGGTAGAAGCTTCTTCATGAAGAAGGATCTACCATGAACCTTATATGAGACTAACATATAAAAACACGACTTACAATAACAATCAATCAACAATACAACTTACTTAGGCAGGACGCATTAGGGGTGATATATCTTCTCTTTGCACAACTAGTCTTTTTACCATTTGACATCATACATGTCATGACAGGATAACAACTTTACTAAGGACTTGTCTGCTCAGACTAAATTTTATTTATTTGATTGTTTACTTATTTATTTATTTATTTTATCCTTGTAATTTAATTTTAGAATGTAGTTTTACATGTTGCTCATGCATTTTTTTAACACACTACTCATGCATAAGTGCATTGGGTATAAATGAATTTCTTCATGCATTTTAATTTTTGAATAAACTCAATTTTAAGTTAAGTGGTGAGCACCAATTTGCCTCATGACTTTTAATCAAGGTTCAGATTTATGAAATATGCAACTATGAGCTAAGCATTTACTAGGTAATGATGATCATATTATGCCTCAATCATTCCTTATAAACCTCTATATTACCTTTATGAAAGGTGGTCACTTGAAAGATTATAGACCTTTTATACACTAGATAGTAAGCTTACCCTTCATGTAGTGGCTTAAAACATGCCATTAGGATCTTAACTCCTTAAAAATTAATATTGTATCAAGGCAGACCTAATCAATAATCCTAAAATTCTTAGAATTTTTTAAGCTAAGACCATAAATTTTCCTAAATACAGGAAATAATTTGAGATGATATAGCTTTTTAAGGGGGATTCCTTTGGGACCAAGGCCAGGAAATTACTGCATATAAAAACAATTTTTGTCATTTTTTTAATGAAAGAGGCTCAAGCCCATCTTTTTGTTTTATATTCTTCAATGTGAATAAGATTTAACCAAGATGAAGACTTGAAAAAGATCTTTTAAGATTAATCATAATAAAAATATTTTGCTCATATTCAACAAAAAGGTCATAGATTATGGAAAATTTTTAATCCATATTCAATGTATGTGTTGTTACCTATTTTTTTAGCCCCATATAAATTTTAAAAAAGGAAAAATAAAAAAATTCAAAGAAATGTTGTAAGAAAATAAAAAAAAAATATCAGTGAGAAGAACATACCAAAACACCTAAGAAAGGGCAAAAGATTATTTGAGGAAGATCAAAATTGGATTTGACAATATATTTTTTACTAATGAATACCTCATTGATAAAGAAAATTTAATTTGAGGAGGAAAATTCAAGTTTGGATATTTAAGGACTCAATTGAAATTTTTTCAAGGCTTAATCAAATTAATGGTATCCTTTAGCCACAACACGAGCCTTAAGGTGATCGAAAGACCCGTGAGGTTTGAGCTTTGATTTAAAGACTCATTTAGAGCTAATAATATGCATATTAGGTGTGTGAGGTAGAAGGTCTCAGGTTTGATTCTTGTGGAGCACCTCAAGCTTTTTTTCCATTGCAAATTTCCATCCTTGATATGTCAATACAGATTTGATATTGGTTAGAGTTTGTGGGATATCATAGAAGAAGGCAATAGAAGTTAAGGCATATTTAGGATTAGGTCTAACAATGCCTCTATGGGAGCGATTAACATTAAGGGGGAAAGGGGTGCTGGAGGATGCATAAGTGGTTGGCAATGAACTTGTGGGATAATTAATTATGAGAGGCTCATATATATTAGAGTTATTCTTAATATATGGTAGTTCCTATCAGGATTCCTAGTTAGAACTGATGACATTAGATTTATAAGGATTTTTATCTGCTAGGTGTTGAAGATCATCAAATATGAACTGCGAGTTTGGAGTATAAAGTGGCATTGGTGGAAGAAGGATTGTGCATGATATGGACAGTATTGGAGGTGGAATTTTTATAGAGTATTGTCAATGTGAGATAACCATGAATTAAAAATATTGTTGATATAAGAGATGGGAGGTGTAATGCTTGAGTTCAAAGTATCTTTATAGGAAAAAAAATATGATTCATCAAACATTACATGTATAGATATGAATTTTATTTTATTTTTGCTAGGGGATTAAAGCACTTGTAACCTTTATATGTGTCCCTATAACCTGTAAAGATGTAAATAATAATTTTAGGATCAAATTTGTGTTATCATATGTCGTATGTGTAAGGAAAGTATTTAGAACCAAACACACATAACATAGAGTAATTATGATAATGACCATGAAGTTTGAATTATGGGGTTTCAAAATCAAGAGCAGACAAAGATAATTAATTAAGAAGGGATATTTTGGTAGTAAAATCATATACCCATATAAAGAAAGGTGCACCACTATGGAATAAATTTGTCATATCGAGTTCACATATTAACCGATGATGTCTTTCAATTATACTTGTTTGTTCTTGAATGTAAGAACATGATAACTGATGATGGATACTAATTGAAATAAAGTGAGAGAATAGTTTGGAATTTATGAATTGTCCTCTGCCATCAAAATGAAAAACCTTGATATGTTTGTTGAATTATCATGTGACATACCGTTCAAAAGCTAAACAAATGTTAACAAAGTTGATTTTTTTCTTACAAAGGTATAATCAAAGTGTATTTAGAAAAATCATCCACAAAATAGGCATAATATCTTAACTTTCCAATGAATAAGACTTATCTAGGTTCCTATAGGTCACAATAAATGTTTTCAAAGATAAAGGAGTATGAATGTTCAGAACATAAAAAGTACAATTTACTAAGTTTTTCAAATTGACTACTCAAATATGTTTTGATTTTTGATCTTGTAACATTAGGCCTTTATTTTTTAATATATGTATAAAAGAGAATTGAGGATGGCCAAAACATTGATGATAGATGTTTGGTGATGCTAAGAGGACATCCAAATCACCCTTGTACCCCCCTCTAATTACGTGTTGTTTTGTTTATCATTTCTTAATACAGAAATCAACATAAGAGAATTCATAGTTATTGAGTAGTTAATTGACTTAAGAAAAGTAAATTCCATTTTAAAACATGAACAAACAGAACATCATCAAGATTTTTTTGGTTAATACTGGAATCTCTAATACCATGAATTGGTATACAAGATCCATCGCCAATAATAATTGAATTTGTACCCGAGTAGTTTTGAATATTGGCTAACATACCTAACATGTGATTGAAGGCTGTTGTGTAAGAGGTCCATTTTGTCTTGGTATTTGTGTTGTTTAAGGTGAGTGCTAAAAGGGCATGAGGATTGTAACCTTGTTGTGTTTATTTTTTTGGCACCCAACGATAGATTTTTATGATATGTCCCATTACACCACAATACAAATATTTTTCATCACAATATCCATCATGTTTTACAGGGGTCATGCATTGTTCACCTGGTGAAGGAGGGCGTCTTTGTTGAGAACATATGAGTGAGCTAGTATAATAGAACTTCTACCATTCTTGTAGTTGTCGTGTTTGAATGTAAATCTTTGCTTGTTCCCGTGAGAATCTATAGAGGATTGGTTGTACCGTTGTTGTCTTTATCCATAAAAGGCCACTTGTGAAATGAATGAATTTGGATTGATTATTTGGTTTGAGAACTAGAAGCGTATTTGGTCAAGACTATAGAGTTGGGAGACAAGTTCAAAATATGTTGGTCTTGGTGGTTTTTAGCATGGTAGTGGTAAAAGTCGTATACAAGGGGTCAAGACACAAGCAAGTAGAAGACTTTTCCTTTATTTAGAATAGTTTTCAATAGCCGTCAGGCTGTCACATAAGGCTTTGAAGATGCGAATATGTTCGCTGGTGGTTTTTTCATTTTCCTTACAAAGATATGTAACTTGTTGTCTGAGTGTAAATTCATGTTCTTGTGAATTTTTAGCATATTCATTTTCCATTGCATCCTAAACTGCATGAGCAATCTCTAAACCAATAGCAAGGCCTAGAGTTTCTTCAGAGAGAGTTCCTATTATCCACCCGCAAAGTGAATGGTCTGCCTTTTGCTAGGTATTGTACTATTATGTTATTTTCGGTTTAAAGAATTCTACATTTATGGTTGTGTTTGATTCTGACATGTCATAATTGGTAGGAGCGGGGTCTTCAATAGTGAGATAGCCAAACAATTCTTGCCTCTCAGCAAGTTCCAAAATTTGTACACATCATAAAGGGTAATTTGTAGAGATGAGTTTGAGGGATAATGAGTTCATAGTTGCAAAAGAGAAGAAAGAAAGGAAATACTGAGTTTTGTCGTGTGTTCATACAAACTCTGATATTGTAAAGAAAATTAGAGGCAAAGTTAGGGAGACATTTTTTAAAAGAGCTTGGACAAAGTTATTTGCTCTTAAAATTTCATAATCCTCTAACATCTCTCCATAGATTACGTTATCGTATTGGTTGCTGATCTAAGGAGAGTTTGTTGCGTTAAAGTTTCAATTATTTTTTATGGGATTTTGTTAGGCTTTAACGTCTCTCTATAAATTACAAGCTATTTCGGTTGCTGAGCTGAGTAAGATTTGTTGCTCCTGGAATGTCATGTATTGCTCTTATAATTTCATCAGAGGCCAACATCTTGCCACAAATAATGTTGTCTTGGTTGTTATACTAGATGCTGGACTCATCAGGTCTGATGATAAAGCTCCTCTAGCTGAGTTGGTCTGAGTTGGGGAGAATGCTATATTGAACAATTATTTTGATCATCCCCTGCAAGCTAGACCGACTCGCTCGCAAGCTTCTTTGATTCTCTCGTCTGAAAAGAATGACTATCACAACCAGAGAACAAAGTTTTTTCTATGTGAAATCAAATTACCCTGGTCGAGCCAGTTAACATGATCGATATATTCATACGTAGTTTTCACCATAGGGCTACTAATGTGATCGATATGAAATGATAAAAGAACTTGATTAATTATAAAATCACTCCTTATATATAATTTTTTCTTTTCCATCATTAATTTTGGCTGTAATTTAATCTACAAAAAAGAAGTTAATAGAAGGAAAAGAAAACAGATGCAAGAGAATGGTTGGTATAGCCATATTAAATGTGTGATAATTTTCCTTTTCCACTCCAAATAATTGCATTTATATCAAGATTACATTGACATTCCCCCATTGCCGATCATGTTAACATGCGTAAGATGTACTTGTTGTGGAAGCAGATGGTACTTAATGCCAAGGTTGTCAAAAATCTTCTTTAGTTCAAAAACAAGCTCCGATCTTCGAGCGCTCTTTTCCCCGTAGTTTTGATGGTTCATGGTGTGTTGAACACATAGAGTAAGCTTCATCTTGTTTACATTTTCTATCTCCTTCACCAGCAATGCGTGCTTTGGGTTCCAGTGCTTTGGTTTGCTCTCAATGTATCTGCAGTATTCCATAATAGTATTTTCTTGAAAACTAATACAAATATTAATTATCAATTGACTAATCTCTAAAGCTTTTGCATTTTATTTGCATATTACCACTATATATGTTCCATAATATGCTAGATATATAAAGAAAAATTGGTAACAATTAACTAATATCTAGAAAATATCTATTTTTATTAGCAAAACAAGTGTGGTTTGGGCACGCTAATTACTTTAAGAATTAATTTTGTGTAACACTAGAAATATTTTGAATGCAAATGAGATTAATAACTTACAGTTGTATAGCTTTCTTGAGAGCATTGAAGTCATCAACAGAAGTGGAGACATCAATGGTGATATCAATAGCATCCCCCATGTCTGGACTTCTTCTAAAATTACTAATAGGCTTAGTAAGAAGAACAGAATTGGGATAATATATTTTCTCTGCATCATATCGTAAGAACACAGTTGTCAAAATATTCATCTCTTCCACAATCATCTGCAAAATGTGTGTGTGTATTCACTCAATTAGGTTCAATTATGTTGCGATTAGCTAGCTATTTGGGGCTTAATAAAAAAAATTACCTGTACGCCATCAATAACACAACGATCACCAACATCAAAAGGATGCATAACAAAGACAAAAATGATAGACTCAAAGATAGTTTTGCAAGTGTTTTGGAACATGAACCCCACGAGTAGCAGTTGAGATGTGAAAACAACTAAAACCTTGGTCGTCGCCAATCCCGTTACCAAAAGGGAGATCACAATTATAATTACAGTCACTATTGCACTTGCTAACTTGTGAAGTTGCTGAACAGCAGTCTTGGTATCATTCAAGGAATGTGCCAATGCTTTTCTCTCAACATAAGCATGTACCTAGTAATTGAAAACATAAACATTACAAAGAAAAAAATTATTCATCTTTGAATAAATTGTTGATGTTCTTTACCATAATAAATATAGGAAAAAGTTAATCCCATTTAGTCCTTGATTAGAAGGGTTAAAAGAGGGGAAGTGGAATTATGTATGGAATCAAGGAATTGAATCCACACCACATGGGCTTGATCAGTTGGTGATGATATGATAATTAATCAAGCATCGAACCTCCTTTTTAAATACACAACAAATTATTAATCTTAATTTGAAAGCAAGCATCTTTTAACATAGGAGGACTTTTAATGTTCACTGCCTATAAACATAATAAGGTAAGGCCTTTTAAACAAAAAATAAAGCAAATAGGTTTTGGATTTTTTACCACCCAATTTCTGAACGAAGATTTTGTGATTTTTCCAGTCTCAACAGCTCCTTCAAAGAGAGGAAATATGGTATAGACCTCCACAGTCTTTAAGAACCTTAGTAGATCTTCCTCTTCTATATACCTTAAAACACTCAAAAATGGAAAAAATATGTCAACAAATATAGACATATATAGTAATTATAAAATGATCATTATACATAACTTCTTCAATATACTCTTTTTAATTATCACTTACATTTAAACTTATATTAGGGTATTAGAAGGATCCCAAAGCCACTTTAGATGTTTTGCTAAGGACTGAAACTAGTGAATTCATACTTGAAAACATAAATTCATGGTCACAAAAATGAAAGAGAGCTGGCTATCAATGTTACGCATACATACCCCAACATGTTTCCTATATTTGTCTCATTGTTGGATTTATGACACATGCCACCCAATCACCTTTTTAGTGCAGTTATATGCAGATTATTCACATTAAAACTTGAAATATTTTAAAGATTTTATATAACCACATTGATCAAATAAGTAGCATTGTTGAAAAAATATTAAAAAAAAATAAAACCTTTATGTGTCTCATAAATCACTATGAAAAACCATAAAAGATTTTTTACAAGTAAAAAGGATGTCAAAGCTTGTCTTTTTTCATCAACGACATGCACCTTCATGGGATAAAAGAGATGAAAAGACAATTCTGATGACATAAAAAAGGGTCGTATCAGGTCCCAAAGGAAAACGTGTGAATCATCCAAACACGACGGCTTCCATCATTTTTTCTTAATTTGTTCCCTTGCTGTTTATCTTATTTAGTCCTTAGTTGTTTGATAACTATTTTTTTATTTAGTTCCTAATTATTTGATAGCTCTTTAATTTGATCCCAAACTCTATCACACCTAAGCTTAATGATGTCTCGACTAGGAAGAAAGAAAAGGAAAGAAAATACTAGAGATTTTTTTTTTTCATTTGGTCTTAGGATCTCTAAAAACATTGGGTTATTTTATTTTATTTTGCTCTCTTATTCTTATATGGCTCTATAATTTACCCCCAAACTTCATCTCACACAAGCCTAATAAAGGCCAAACCAGGGAGAAAAGAAGTGAAAATGAGGTGGAAGAGACAACAAGCTAAATCGGGCTAACTAATTATGATCTTGTCATGAACATGACAGCATATTTAGTCGATTAGACCTTAGTCGATTAGACCTTGTTGGCAAAGGTCAATGTAATATGGCATTGTCTTTTCATTTTTCTCTCTAAACTCTTCTTCTTTTTTTTGTGATTTTTTTCTTTGACATTTTTCTGTTTCATCCTTGAGCTTGATCAAGTTAGACAAAGGTTTGAAATGGAAGCTTTTTGAAATTATTTTAGATCTATATCGAATTTTAAATAGGATAACTGAGTCATGATTGAGCCCTTTGATCAAATGACACTTGCTAAATCAACTCCAACATGATTTGATTTGGAACCAGGCCATCAAATGGCCTACAACATGGGGCAATGCTTAATAAATAAAAAAGTAAAGAAACCATGCTAGAAAGGTTCTTTGTTTCTCATTCAAAGTTTATTTTTTCGGTGGCAAAACAAAATGACAGATAATTAAATAAATATTATGAATAGAATCCCATTTCATGGGATTATATTTCTTTATTTGCATCCATCGATTGACGTTTCAGTCTAGTTTTTAATTGTCGTTAACAACTCTTTTTAGCATTTTTTTTACATAAATAATTTTTTTATTAATTGTATTTAACAAATTAATCAACGTTTCAATGTGTATTTTAGATTTTTTTATTGCCAACTCAAAATTTAACATCATCCATGTATTTTCCTTATTTTTATGATTAAATCAACTTTTAATCTAGCTAGCAACGTGTTGTGGGCACTGTGATTAGAATCCTCTAATTCACCATAAAGTTTACATGGCTCGTGTTTTCTTTACTTATTATTTTTTTTTATTTTTTTATTTTCTGATTAAGTAAAACTCAAAAGTTAGAGAATAAATTAATTTGAGATGATGACAACCAAAATATCTAATTAACCAAAATGGAAACAATTGTTTTTTTTGTTAGCATGGTAAAGAAAATAATAAAATAACTCAATGCAAAAGGTATTTAGAAAAATAACACCATTTAGAGAGTTATAGATTACATATGCGATTTGCGAGTCGAAAGTGTCATATGCGACTCTTTCAAATTGCAAAGTTGTAAGACAAAAGATTCAATAAAAATAGATGAGAGAAAGAAAAAGGTGAAAAAAAAAAAGAAAAAAAAACCCTAAAAGCACAACAAAACTCCAATGATAACACCACTAATACCGTGGGAAAGATCATGACGAGAAAAATTCAATGACAATAAGAAAAGCTACCAACGATGATAGGAATGGGTCACCCAAATAGCCTAAAGAAAAGTGAGAATCATTTGACCACTTGTGTGGCCCACTCCGTTCATTGTTTGTAAGATTCCTTGGTATCGTTAGATTCATCTTGTTGAGATGTTTTTATGATATTAGTGGCGTCATCATCAGAGCATCAGTATGCTTTTGAGGTTATTTTTTTATTCTTTGTTTCTCCTTTATCCTCTTTGTAATTTGTGAAAATAGAAGCGAAAGAGAAAAGTTAAAAAAAAAATAGATCTTGGGAGTATATCGAAGCTTTGATGATGATAACATTGATACCATAAATAAGATCTCGACAAGATAAGTTCAACGACACTAAAAAAGATTACAAATGGTGAGCAGAGTAGGCCATATAAGTTGTCCTAAGGTATCGAGAGTTACATTTCTATAAACCTTTCTTGTGCCCCCTCAAGTCATTATTGATGACCTTTCTTGGTGTTATTGAGCTCGTCTTATAAAGATTTTTTCAACGGTGTCAGTGGTGTTGTCATTGAAATTTTGATGTGCCTTTAAAGTATTATATTTGTTTCCTTTCTTTTTTTTTTCAATCTCTCCTCTTTTTTTACTGAATTGTTTTCAACAATTTTACAATTTAAAAGGGTCGTAATTAACATTTATGACTCATAAATCACATATATTTTATATAACTCTCTAAACTATGCTATTTTAAAAAAATATTTTTTATATTGTGTTATTTTATCAATTTTTGTTTCTATGCTACATTACAAAAACAAAAAAAAAACTCTCAAAACAAAGCAGATTATTAAAACTTTGTTAAACAACTCAACAAGGTTAGATTGGAGCTAGAAATATACCAAAATGTTTATTTTCCATCACCTTTAAATCGACCATAGATATTTCCAATTTTTCCCAATCTAATAAAGCAATTAGACTAAGATTGACTAATATACATTGAACTTTGAGAGTTTTTTTTTTTGTTTATCAACCTACTAAAAAAATTGATAAAGTAACACTGTTGAATAAATAATTAGGAATGTAGCATAGCTTTACAAGTCACATATGCCATTTGCGACTCACATGTCACATATGTCACATGCGACTTGTATTTTTTGGTTGGCATTTGCAACTCATTTTAAATTAGAGATAAAGATAGACTTTTCTTCCCCTTTCTCTTCTTTCCTCTACTCTCTTTTTCTCTCTCAGTCGCTCCTCCCCTCTCACCACCGCCAAAAACACCTCCATTGGCATTTGCAACTCGTTTTAAATTAGAGATAAAGATAGACTTTTCTTCCCCTTTCTCTTCTTTCCTCTACTCTCTTTTTCTCTCTCAGTCGCTCCTCCCCTCTCACCACCGCCAAAAACACCTCCATTAGCCCTTAAACAATCATTGCTTTTTACATCACTCATATCTCTTTCTTACTCTACATGCATAAGCCTTTCCTTTTTCTCTCTCTAACAATTGTTGGTCTGAAATTTTCTAGTCAAAACAACAACCACTTGTCACCATCACCACCCATATTTTATTTTGAGAGCTATATTGAATACTTCCCCTCAATTAATTTGATATATTTTATGTTTAATTAGTGTTATTTTGATTTTATTAAATGTTATGTTTTTGAATTAGGAATTAGGTTAATTATAAGTAATTTAAGTTTTTAATTAGTAATTTTAGGTTGTTAATTGTAAATTAACAAAATCAAGTGTTTGAAATGCTAATGTTGATTTAGGTTGAATTGTGGATTAAGTTAATTAGATATATAAAATACTAATAAAATTAATTGATGTTTAAAATCTAATAAATGTATTTTAAAAATAAAAATAAAATAATTTCAATAGCTTAAAAAAGAAAAGAAAAATTAACTTTAAAGAATATTTACTATTACATGGTAAGAAATTGATTTTCCTGGGATAATTCTATTTTGCATAATATTTTTTATATATATAATATGCCATAAGGGCACACGTTATGAAGGCATTTTTTTTTTATCAATGTACCAATGCGTAATGGGAAGATTAACTTCAAATGTAGTATTAAATCTAATGAGCAATGGGGCTTACGTCCATTTCCTTTTCTTTTTTATTGAATTCCACTTATCCTCCATGTGAACCAAATTAATGGTAGTTATGCATATAATAATGATTGAGATTTAAAATATTTTTTATTTGAAAATATATTAAAATAATATTTTTTATTTTTAATATCAACATATTAAATTAAATAATATAAAAACAAAATAATTTTAAATTTTTGAAAAACCATGATTAAAACAACGTTTCCAGACACCCTAAATCTCTCAGCCTTACCTCGTTTGATTACCAGCTGGGATTAAATTGTGCCCACGAAATGATTACAAATAGAAAATACGAGGATGTTCTTGCAGCCAGCTAGTTGACCCATCATTTTGAATAATGTTTTAAGCAAAAGCAGTCTAGGGTTTTCCAGGCGTGATGAACGCGCCTAGCCCCACAAAACCACCGATTAATGCCACTGTCAAGAAATCGACTAGGACGTAAATAATTTATGAGAAAAGTAGAAAGTCTTTAAAAAAAAAACTAAAAAATAAACAAAGAATAATTTATGAGAAAAATAAGTTAAATAACTTTGAGTTATAAGGTACATTAGATAAAAATGTTTAAAAACATTTGATTTTGAAAAAAAAAAGTATAGATTAAAATCTTTAACATGCAATTTAGAACCAATTGTCTAATATAATAAAATTCAATTATAATATTTAATTTAAATTGAATTCATATATTTACAAAATATAAAATTTAATTCATTTTATTTCATATATTACCATCATCATCATCATCTTATTTATTCAAATGTCTTTATAAAGGAATATGGGTAGATATGTATTTTGAAAATCTAATTTTAATATTATTTTTTTCACTTTTTTTAGTGTAATAAATCAGAAGTATAGATTATAATTTAAAAATTTTAATTTACATTACCTCACATTTGGATGCTTGGTGCTCTTGTTAAAATCTGCTTTGACTTAAAAAACTTACATTACCTGATCGCATTAAATTAAGAGATTTTTTTCTTTTCTTTCGGGATATGAATCAATAGAAGAGATGTGATTTGGATGTTAGCTAGCTACCATAAGTCATAGACTTTGATTCATTTCAGTGTCAGTTTATGATATATATATATATATATATATATATATAATTTGGTACTAAATCTTGCTCACATTTTATTAATTAAAGAGATTAATAAAGAGATAATTATGTGTGTACGAAATTTAGTGACAATAAACTAAAGTTAGGCTATTAATCAAGACCCAATTTCATTTTTGGACAAAATAATTGAAACATTGTCGAGTTTCTAATAGTCATGATATATATGATTCCAGATATGCTAACCCTTAACAAAAAAAAAATTAATAATTAACCTATCAAGGTTAGCATAATTGAGATCGGTTAACTATCTCTACTGTACTGTATGGTCTCTCCTAAGGATTATATAATATCAAATGTTCATATAATCAGAAAGGCTAGCAGAAGAAATTAAACTTACTTGGCACCAGATTTGGCAACATTCCTAAAAATTCTTTGAGCAGTGCCTCTAGCCTCCCATTCACTGTTGATCTCCGATTCTGCGTTACCAAAATCATCGACCGTCCTCGAAATCGTTGACAGCCCTGAAGACTTAATGTAACTCACCAACCTCTTTATATTCCAAGCAGATGCCCTCCTCATCATACTTAACTTCCTCAACCTCTCCATATCGATGCTCCTCGACTCATACCTCTTAGATCTTGATGCCCTCTCCCTCAGTTTCGCCGGCAATGTCTTCGAATGCGTTAGCGTCCGTCGACGAGGAGTTTCTCTCTCATCCTCATTCAATGGTGGACCGGAGAGTGTATCGAGAATGTAGTGGTGGAAGACGCTTTCTTTCATGCGGTCAAAGAAAGTAGCAACATGGAAAGATGAAGCAAGAACCTTGACAAGTAAAATCTTTAGTAACCATATTGTAGCTCCAATGAGGACAGCAATTAGAGCACGGAAAACCCTCTTTAAGACCTTGTTGGATTTGTGGACATCATGGAACATACTCATCCATGCAAGTAGAACCAATCCTAGCCACGCACAATGTTGAAAACTCTTGCGCAAACCAAAAACAAAGTAGAGTACTTTTTCTCTGAGCATGAAATTGCGTTCTATGAGAAAAACAAGAAAGCCTACAACCCAAACCGATACAAGGCGGCCACAGAAGAGAACCAGGACCATAAGGCACCATTTCCATAAAACTAAACCCCATAGGACCTTGTTTATGAGGGATTCAACGGTTAAAGAGAGAATTAAGCAGGTCATGATTGTGAGAAACAATATGAACTCAATCAAGGCTCTCTTTTTTATCTTTCTTTTCCTTTTCGTTCTATACTTGGAACGTTTTTTGGCCTCCCCAGCATCAACTTCTTCTCCTCCTTCTTCTTCATTTTCAAACCATTCTTCATCATCGTCTTCATCTGTGGAGGTAGCGCTTTCGGGAGGGTTTAGGGGTTGGTATTCTTCGGATTCAGGGAAGGTTTTGGAATGGGGAGGGTAGTTAGTTTCAGTGAAACGAGATTTGGGTTTGGAGAAGTTGAGACGGCGGAGGGTTTTTGTTCTCGCGTAGGTTTTAGAGTCTTTCATGTCTGGTTGCTGTGGTGATGGTGACTGTTTGACTTTGGAATCTTCTTGCTGTGGTGGTGGCGACGACATTTGGAGTTTGGAGTCTGATTGATCTATGAATAGAACCACTTGGTCTGTGTTGGGGTACTCTTGGTTTTGAACCTCCATCATATCCAGCTCCATCTTATTAACCACACACAGAGATTTGAAGATTTAGAAGAGAAATGAGACAGGATCTTTGTGAGGACAAAGCCTTGTTATATTCACAACAGGGAGAAGTGATTGTGTAATTTTCGGAAAGAAAACTTTCAAGGAGCTAGAGAAATAATCTAGCGCAATTATTGTGATATACACATGTATATATATAAAAGGGAAAAGTTTGAAGCACTATCTTTTAGCTATAAATATATTTTGTGGAGAGAATGTCATGATGCAATCTGCATGCTGTCCACCAATTTTATTATGAAAGCAACTTCCTTTAACAATTTGATTTTTCATTTAAATACGTAGCATGATGAACTATTATTAAGTATAAAGCTAATAAAAGGTGTGGTTTTCATTTTCACTGTATACTCTCTATATTAACATAGTTAATTTTAAAAAAAATCATTTTGATACTCAAATTTTTATTTCAGTTCCTATATTTTTAAGTATTAGTTAATTGATCAGTCTCTCTAATTTTAAAAAAAAAATTAATATAAATTTTATATTTTTTGTTTTTTATAAAAGAGATATAGGATGTTCTCGTATTCCAAATTATAAAAAAAAAAATTATCGCCGACAAAGATTTCAACCATTAAATTTATTGGTATAGATACCATGTGTTTTAAGATTTCAGCAAATCGTGAGTTGATAGACTGTTTAATACTATTTTTAATTAATTTATTCTAATTAACCTCAATTAAGATTTAATAACCTCTAAGTCGGGCATGCCATAACACATATTTCACTAATTTATTATAATTAATACAAACATAAACCAATGGGGAAGAAGAAAGCTAAAAGTACAAACAATGCGTCAAACGTCTAGGCACGTGTGGCTTTCCTGCCCTAGTACAAGAAAAGGCCACACGTGCGGGCCCGGATGACCACGCTCCAGGCCTTTTATTCTCTTAAAGTGGTAAATGGATGGATAACTTTTCATCTGCCTTAAGACGGTGCACGTCTCTCTACCTAGTTTTGGACCATTAAAGACGTGAATGAAGAATAAGGTTAATGGTTTTTTAGTAAAAATTTGTTTTTCAATATAGTTTTACCTAGAAACATTTATTAAATATCCTTATAATATTAATAAATTAATTTATTAACTCAAAATACCCATAAAATTTATTTAAAATCATAAAATTAAATTGAAAAAAAAAATTCAACCTCGATTTACCTTTTTCAACAAGATAAATAATATTTTTTATAACTAAAATGTGATTAATCAATAATTTTCTCTTTTTATTATTTTTTTAATACTTTCACTTTTCTCCGTCAAACACAAGGACCACCAATAAATGACCCAAAAAAAGATTTAAACCATAAATTACTACTTTCATTTTTCTCCATTAAGCACAAGGACCACCAATAAATGACCCAAAAAAAAATTTAAACCATAAATTACTGCTTTCACTTTTCTCCATCAAATACAAGGACCACCAATACATGACCCAAAAAAATTTAAACCATAACAAAAAGTAAACACAATATTCACAAGCATGAACAAAATAAATTAACACGCTTTCTCATGCTCATATATGAAACAACATGCAATAAAAAAAAATAGGCACTGAACTAAAAAACATAAAATATTATTAAAAAAAAACTTTTTTCTGGTCCACAGTGAGATTATTGAGTGTAAAAATGCCATCCTTTTGATTCGATGGGAATGCGTAGCAGCCTGAAAAGCCTTCTTCCAACAAAACATCATTTAATGCGGTCGCTATTTACGTCACGTGCTTTGCATTTATATTATTTTTTATATCGCGACAAAAAGCATGTTACTGTAGTTCTGCACGTGACCGATTACACCAAATGAATTGGAGCGCACTCAATGGGGGCAGTCATGCTGAAAACATACGTAATTTTAACGACTATAATTATTATTTTTTGATCCCCTGCTCTGCCCTGCATGATTGTAATTTATGTAGATTTATTGCTATCAACGACTTTTATTTGCCTAGCCATTTGAAGGCTTTTAACCTGGATCGTTAATTTTTAGTTTAGTTTGATTGTTATTAAAAAATAATTAAATTAACTTTTTAAAAAAAAATCAATTTTACTCACAAAAACACTATGTGTTTCATTGTTTATTACAATATTTTCTTCTTCTGCTTTCGATCCTCAAGTTTTATTTTATTTGACTTCACCCTTATATTTTATATTTATATTGATTTACTTATTAGGATTTGCTTTTATTTACATTTTAGTGCATGCTCAAGGTGTTCTATTGGTTAATTACACATCGATTGTTCTATTGGTTAATTACACATCGATTTTAAATTGTTGTTTGAAAAATACTTAAAAAAATAAAAACTAAAATTAAAAAAAAAAACACAAGGTATTTCAATTTTTAATATTCAAAAGGTGCAGAAAAGTTCAACTTGATCTCTCGATTACTAATTATTTTTTTACATTTTTTATCCTTATTGTTTGAGAGTTTTATGTATATTTATTAAACCCAGATTGGTTTAGCGAGTCGATCCATTGGCTGAACCTGTCCGAGTTTATTAAAAGACCAACCGGTATAATAACCTAGCAAAACCCGGTCAACCCATGACCCAGATAAAACCTGGTATTTTTTTTTTCAAATGTAGTTTTGCTTCTATATTCTTCTTTTTTTATAAGTTTTTAGTTGGTTATTAACACTTTTTAAAGTTCACTATATTAATATTAGAAAAATATTTTATTTTTTCAATGTCAAATTTGAAACCTTTTAGTATGTATACTCTATTTTCCTAAAAAAAAAAGTTATTTTTTCAATGTGAGATTTAAAACTTTTTAGTATATATATTCTATGTGCATAAGAAAAAAAAATTATATTTTTTCAATGTGGGATTTAAAACTCTTTTAGTATATGTACTCTATATTTTCAAGAAAAAAGTTATATTTTTTTAATGTGGGATAAAAAAATTTGGTTTAAATACTTCAACTTAAAAGAATAACATATTATCTTTTTAAAGTGGGATTTGAAGTCCTTTAATATGTATACTCTATGTTCACAAGAAAACAATTATGTTTTTCAATGTGAAATAAAAAAAATTGGTTTAAATACTTCAATTTAAAAGAATAACATAATATCTTTTTAATACGAGATAAAAAATTATTTTAAAATATTCTTTTAAACTTCATTATTTACAACATGTATAGTTTATATTCACATGATTTTTTTCTTAATTTTTTTATATAAAATATTAAAATTTTTAATTTATATATTTTTAATTTTTTCTAGTTGACTCATGAAATCCAAGACTCAATCCCTTGGCTTGGTCAATTCTTAGGCATAATTATTGTTTTATATTTAAATTCTAAACCTTATTTTATTTGTGTTTTGATTTCTAGTGTTAAAGAATAAAAAAGAAAGTCACTAGAAAAATAAGATAAAAAAACATTTGATCGGCCACATTTTAGCCAAAAAAAAAAACATTATTCTGATATCACTAATTTCATCTTAAAAAGTTTCATGGACTTTTTTTTTATTTTTTTTATTTAATGTATTTTTAGACCCTTAAAGTTAGAAATAATAAAATATAAACATTTGACTTGTTTTTTAAAATAAATTTTTTGTTTAACTTCAAAACACATGTCATTTCATCCTATTTTATCTTTTTAAATTTGTTTTAATATGATGCAAAAAAGACTCACATGGTGTAATTAAATAAAAAATAATTTTAAAAATAAAAATTATTAAATTAAGTAATTTGTATAACCAAGATTATAAATTTAATAGGTTGACCTTGATTCACTAAAATCTTTTTTAAAAAAAGTTTAACTAAATTTTTTTTATTGTTAAATTTTTTTTTTACTTAATGCATTTCTAGCCCCATAAAGTTTTTAAAAAAAATCATCCTTTTTTATTTGATTTAAAGAAATCTATTTTTCATTTACCTTTTAAAAAATACATCTTTTTTTTTTCAGTCCCTCCTATGTGCCTATCTCGTTTCTTCTTTCTTAATTTTTTTTATTTGATACAAAAAATCTTATGTGTAAGGTTGTTGTGTAGTTAAATGAAGAATTATTCAAAGTATATTATAATTTAATCCATTTTACATTTTATCTTTATTGTTGTGAAAATTACAAAAAGCATCGTTAACTTTATAAATTCATAATGGTTTTGTATGACACAAAAAAATGTTGAATTATTTGCTATAATATTCAATTTAATAACTAAAAAAAAGTCTTTATTGCTTTAAAATAATGAAATTGCCTCTAAAAAACCTCTTTCATCTCTTTGCCAAACATGATATATATACTCTAGCCACCAATTTAGATTTTGTAAGATCATTTGTATCATGGCCTCCGGATACGTATCCCGCGCCGATGAACATTGGTAACCCTAAACTGAGCAGAAATTGCAATTTATTTAGATCTCCTTGCAAGCCTAGCAGGCTCTTAGCGTCCAACAAAGCATAAATCAGGCAAAGAACTAGGTCAGTGAAGCCTCCTTGTGAACAAAAAGCAGGTCGAGCCTTGGTGCATCACTGGCTGACACAGTATCCATCAGAAACTAAGTCTTTTTTTACTCGAACTTTCATCAAAGGTGGCACCGCCAGCAGCATTATTTTTAGTCAACATTATGTATGATGTCTCTCTTTTCCGTCGCCCTTCATACATGACACATGGCTAATCTTCTCCTACCGTGAAAGAGACACTACAATATTTAACAGCATTACCAACATATTATTTTCATTGATATGAAATTATTATTTTATTAATAAAAATTTTATTAATTAATTTATCAATAAAATACATTTCTTGAAATAATATTCATTGATAATTTTATTTTTTATTACTAATTTTATCATTAAAAAAAAATTTACAAACCAAAAATACATACAAGAAAAAAATTCTTCTTCATTCTATTGGTATTTCCCTTGAAATAATTGTCATATAACCAAAAACAAATACCACATATAATTTTATTAGTAATTATTTAAAAATATTTTTTTAAAAAATATATTTAACAAAACTAAAAAATAATTAAATTAGTATAAATCAATATTTTATAATACTCAGAATTGAGTTGCTTAGGGAAAAAAAATCGACTCCAAAAATTTGTAACAACTAAATAACATAAAAAAATAAAACAACAACAACAACATTGATCTCATATGAAAAAAAAATCCTGAAATAACAGTCATATAATTACTAAGAACAG